GTTTTGATTTTTAATTTAACACTGTTAGGTTTAAAACTGTGAGGTAATATTTGAAATATTTTCCTCTAATTACTAAGAATTTTTAGCCGACCATATTTGTAGTTAGATTACTAGAAATCTTATTTACGAAGTAAAAAGGCGGAAAGGCTGGAATTAGGGGCGTGGCTGGTATTAGGGGCATCCAACCTACCCGGGGTTTTTTGTGTCCCACAACTCGGGGAGAGACTGAAAATTTAAAATAAAATCTTTTTCTGGTTGAAACACATTTGGTGGGAGTGGCGACGGGCTGCGCGAGCGCGTAGAAGCAGCCTCTTCAATATATTCTGCGTCCGCCTCCATTGCTATCTAAGCGTTGACTGACGCGTGATTGATGAAATGCTATTACACGTTCAATCAAAATTCGTGACTGAATAGTTGATTGACGTAAAAATCAAAATATCCAGATATTTGTCAATCAATTTCATGCAACTGTCAATAACTACATTACACGATAGGTTATTCGTCAATCACAACCGTGATTGTTGTAAAACTGACAGCAAAACCTACCGTGTAATGTGCGTCTAACTGTCTGAAGACGCGCGGCAATTTACATCCCACAGCGCTCTGCTGTGTTTAGGTTTACGATGACAAGTTTAAAAATATTGTGACTTCGCTAATCCAAACATACAAACAGATTAACAAACATGTTGTGTTGCAGATCTGAGTCGGACCACGGATCCATCGAGAAGCCTAAGGAGATTGCATAGCGGCTACAAAAGCGTCCTCTGTCCATCTGACGACAGGGTCTGGTGCAGGCGTGTCACTTTGTAAAAATCTGAGGTATGGAAAATGGTGGCGCGATTTTCAAATTTGTTCGCATTACTCGTGGGGTATTAAGGTTTAAGAGTTTGCAGTGTATATACTCAACTTATTTATTGAACTATAAGATGTGGGGTATTGAGGTTTAAGGGCTTGCGATTTATTTATATGGGGTTTGTAGTAATATGCGATTTATTTCCTAATTTCAGCTATGGAATTCCATACCTTGAAAAACTTGAGGTATGGAGTGCTCCATACCTTCCATAGTGGAAGTGACACCCCTGGTCTGGTGCTTTTAAAGTTTAGTGTATTATTTCGTACATGGCGACGACATGCATTGGGCTGCAACATGTTTGCAAAACAAAACGCCATAGGGCGTTGCATCTCCGCTAATGCGATACAATTTATAGGTAGGACTTCACATATAAATCCACATCCCCTTCTTTGAGATAGTCTCATATAAGACTGATGATTCCAGAACACTTTCTGTATATTTGATAATTTATCTCATAAAGTAGGTTCTCTTTGACCCATGTTTTTCTTCACTTTTATACAATTTTGTCAATGCACAAAGTAGGGAGTTTTAAATATTTGATAGACTATCATCGACTCCAGAAGCTATATTAGGTCGAAATTATTCTTCTTAGATATTTATTTATAATTTTTATTTTATTAAAAGTTGGTTTATATATTTTTTTTAATGTTTAACTGAAGATATATACAGTGCAGTGTAATAACCAGCTGAATATATAATATTAATATTATAACATAGTCTAAATACCAGGAACTGAATATCGCCTGGTGTAATAGGCCTTCAAGTTACAATGACCAGTCCATGAACACCTATAAGTGTAACCATCTGCAAATAAATAAGTATACAGATGTTGTCAAAGTTTTTTATTCTCATTTACCTTAAAGATTCAGCACATAATTTTACTCGGTGGTAGGGCTTCTTTTCTACCTATGGGTGTGTTTGGGTGCGTGCCACTCTCTTACCTATATCTGCCGCCAAATAGTAGTGCCTGCACAACTGTCGTCCGGTCTGAAGAGTATAGAGAGCCAGTAAAATTATAGACTGTGAGGCATTCTATCTAAGTCCCCAGAGGTGACAAAGCATCTGTCATTAAAGTTAACTGCAAGTGTTCATAGACTGCAGTGGCCACTTACACTCAGGGTGGACTTATAAAATGTAAGTGTCAAACGAACTTACAGTCAACGTGTTGGCAGGTGGCAACTGCAACCCATAGACTACTGTAAGCAAATTTTTTTAATAGCATAAGGGTGTCATTATGTAAGAGCATGGTCCTACTCTGGTTGAGCAAACCTAATAGTGCACTAACACTCATAGCCACTTACCATCAGGTGGACTGTGTGCTCGTTTGTCAGTCTTATTCTAAAAAGTAGATGCTGTGACCCATAGATATCTACATTTATCCTCGAGTCTCTGAAGCATACACAGTTACTGCACTGGAACCCCAACATTCAATAGTCTTTAAAGCAAATGGCACAATTATATAGTTATCTTTCACATCATCATGCCACAAAACATGTTCCGGGGCCTGGTAAGAAATGCAAGAAAACGATGGATGCATCGTTTTCTTGCATTTCTTACCAGGCCGTCACACCATCTAATGAGGGACTGCCCTACATTTTGCTTACCAGTACGAGGCTTCCACTAGAGAACCTTTCTTCCCCATCAGTTGCTGGTTCCTCGTGATATATAAACATACTCATCGACAACTTCGAGTGTAATGCTCCCAACAACTACTAGTATAGGTGTGACAATGTTACATATGACCTTGTTTTATCCATATTCATTTTAAGCCCTATCTGTTGGAAAATGCTGTTGAGATTGTTCATTAAGCATAGTACTTAGGTTTTAAATAACAGTAACTAAATGGATTAATTAATTCATCTCACAGTCAAAAAAATTATTTTTAATGGTTTTATTCATATTATTCTGGCTAATTTTCATTGTGACTAGCTGCCATGACGGAAATTCGGTGTTTTTTATAGAATAAGGATAACAAAAAAGCACATAGTTTACCTGATGGTAAGTAATAATGTGACCCCTAGACACCTACATTTATATTCAATAAATAATCAAAATATAGATGTATTGTCACTCCTAAGGACTAAGATAAAATGGCTACCAGTAATAGGAGTTGGAAAACATGATTAGTTAGAAAAAGATCTGCATATTCTTTTATTAAGAAATATCTAAAAGGCATTGTTTTATATGTGCCAAGTATGAACAGTAAGATATAGTCATTTTTATATTTTTACTAGCGAGCCATCCGGGTTCACATGGGTGTTTTCTGGATCTTGACAATGGCGCCACCTACCGGGTCTAACTGTAAATCTAAGCCAACTACGGTCAAAGTCAACAAAGACAATTAAAGAATGCTAATTGGTTGCTTGCTTTGCTATCGTCATCAGTGTTGAGACAGCTAGATTAGTTTATTTCAGTTATTTCCATAACATAATGTTTTTGCTATGGGGAACTGCGGCTGAATTAGAAACTATTTTTGCTTTACAGAAGAGGGGACATTAGAGCTATTTACAACTTAAAATAAAGTCACTTAGAGAAAAATTCAAAGAAAGAAATACAGCTGCAGTATGGCTTTATGTGGTAGAGCCATACTGCAGCTATATTAGTAGTATAGTTGTAGCACAAATGGGTCGGCTCGACCGGGGAAGGACCACACTCTCACAGAATACCAGCGTAAAATAGTAGAGAACCGGAAACCCTTTTTTACTTAAAAAGAGGCATTCCATCTTAGTCCTCACGGGTGACAACACATAACTGCATATGTGATTCTTTATTATTGTTTGATTTAGGGTCACAGCAAGCATTTACCATCAGGTGGCCTCTCTTTTATTTATGAAAATTAAATGTATGTTCACAAAAATAAAGGTAGTAGTAGTAAAAAAGTGATACACACTCTAAACAGTAAGAACAAACACAAGCTAGTGATTCCAACTACTTGACTCCACAGAGTCAGTAATTCATTCTTGGGGCATTGTATACGCAATAGTATACGCTATGTCCCAGAAAATTTACAAGGTCTCTCTATTACAAAGTTTAAATATTTTATTAAACAAAAACTGTTGATAATAACCCCTGGGAATCGCTTGCAAGCTGTTTCTAAAATAAATTTGAAAATAATTGTCCCACTGGGCTTCCTGCTGAACCAGCAGGACAGAAATTTTATTTCCAAACCAGTGGTAAAGTAAAAAATGACTTTCAATAAGAATTACATACATGTGATCTATATTGAATAAAAAAAAATCTAGTCTATTCTATTCTGCTGTCATAAAACCTCCACACAAGGAAATGAATGGAGTGACCTCTTACCCATTGAGATTGGACATTAGAAGATTTCAAAAAGTTCTTTTGACTGAAGAATTAAAGTTTGAAATTTTTTGAAGAACTAAACTGAAATGTAGCATCAAAGAAAAGAGTGTTCAATTGGTAAATCACTGCCTGGTTGTTCCTCAGGCCAAGAAATTGAAGTTTTGGTATAAATCTTTAAAATTATGAAAAAAAAAGTAGCATGGACTGACGCTAGAGCCTAATGTGATTCCTTCCAGGTTAAATTAGTTGGCAATGGAATTTATTTAACAAGATAATGGTCTAAAGAACAATCCTAAATTGTCCTAAGGATAATAACATTAGACAAGAGATGGAAAGACTGTTGCAAAATATAGTACATGAGTTCCAATCTCAACCTGATAGAACTTTTAGATAAGAGTCGAATAGAAATGGTAGTCATAGAGGCTCTATTCACATAAAGACAAGTGGAAGGCCTTACAGAAAAGCTAGAATAATGTCACACAACAGACAATTGATAATCCGATTGCTTATAAACTAAGGTTGGTAAAAAATCATGAAATGCATTCTTTGCATTTCATGATTTTTTATACATTTATATTATTTTATTTTATAGATTTTTCTGACAAAAAGTCAGATAAGGTATAATTTTACTATTTCAACTAACTGTACTTAACATTTTTTTAAATTTCAGACGAAAATTGTAATCATGAATTATTTTTTGAAATAAGGAGTGGTGGTTCTATGAGTACATGAATACATATTAGACATCCATAGTGATTCAAAACTTGTAACAAGTGGATAGAATCTGCGTCTATCATCAAGCAAACCTATTTATTAAATAAGTTATTTTACGTTACATACATACCTGAATTTCCAAAAGCAATTCTGTTTTCCTGCGTCTTATATCTATTAAAGTTTTTTGTTGCTCAGGTGTCAACTCTGAAACAAACATTTCTTCGATTATATATTAAAAGCTAAAACATTGAGGTCATAATCAGTGTAATGCATAATGAAAATAAAATAATAGAAAGTAAAATTACCGGTATGGGTAAAAGGATCTGCATGATTACTAGCAGTATTATTCCCTCCGAGAGACAAATTTTCGAACTCACTTATCATTTCTTATAATTAGATAAAACAGTAAACAAAAGTTTACATCGTTAAAAACTGACTGACGGCCATATTTATTTACTACTTAAGTTTTTGTTGTTACAATTCGCTTATTAAGGCAGGCAAAGACCTTACACTACACAGCCTTGTTTAACGTCACTTATTTGTTGACGAACGAAATGTATAAAATTGAACAGTGTTAGTATGTACTATGATCGCATGCCTACTTGCATACTTGATTACCTGAATACCTGAATATATTTTCCAGGCATCAGGTAATCAAGGTACGTAAAAACGTTAATAATTCTCCTAGCTGATTTCTACGTATATGTTAAATAATGAATGAATGAATATACTTTATTGTACACCACAAACAAATATACAAATTACATAACAAAAGACAGATGAAATTTACAATTTGGCGGCCTTATCGCTACATAGCGATCTCTTCCAGGCAACCAAAAGTGTAAATGAATAAAACAATGAATACTAGGTAGGTGGTGCAATATAAATTTACAAAATACTAGCTGACCAGGCAGACGTTGTTCTGCTTTTTCTGACGACCCTTCCTATGAAAAAATCCTTAAATTCATAACAAAAAAATATTGGACCAAACTACACACAGCGTACAAAATTTCATTGAAATCAGTTCAATAGTTTAGGAGTTCATCGCGGACAAACAATGTGACACGTAATTTTTATATATAAAGATAATATCAATACATGCGATATATAGACAATAAATGCAATAAAATAACATATAAGTAACTAATACATAAAATGCTATAAATTACTAATACAAAATAAAAGATAAAGTAAAGCATATAATACATACATATATAGCAATATATAAACAAACGTACATATCTACCTAAAATACATAAATAAATTATAAAATTCCTCAAACAATAATATAAAGCTAATAAATACAGTAAGTACATAATCACATAATTTATCCTAACGGTCTCCGAACGATTGAGACAAGTGATGCTCTTTAAGTACGAGTAATCGCTTAAATATTACAATAGATTATGCTTCACGTATATGCAAAGGTAGGGCATTCCAGACCTTAATAAACTGGACAGTAAAAAATTTATTAAAAAATGATGTTTTGTGAGTTGGTACCCTTAAAATGAATTTTCTAGAAGAGCGTAGAGGTTCCCCCGAAAGCCCTACAAAATTAAACTTCTCTTTTAGATAGGGAGGAGCAGAAGGATGAAATAATACACAGTACAGAATAAAAAGAATATGCATGTTCCGGCGAAGTCGGATAGGTAACCACTTGAGACGTGAGCGAAATTGGGAAGTATGGTCAAATTTGCGCAATCCAAATATGAACCGAAGACTAGTAATTTGAAGTCTCTCAAGCTTATTTAGCTGATTCTCAGTTATGTCTACATAGCTTGCGTCAGCATAGTCGAGAATCGGAAGGACAAGAGACTGCGCGAGCATAATTTTTGTAGGAATGGGAAGAAATGATCGAAGGCGACGCAATGAACAAAGACCGACAAAGGTTTTCTTACTTACCTCATTCAGTTGGCGTATTCAATTTAAGGAATTATCAATATAAATACCAAGGTATTTGACATTGTCAAAGTAAGGGATTACAACTCAATCAAATACGATAGGTGGTTCAGTGAACCAGTCAATTCTTGAGATAAAGCGCTGGCTACCAATAATGATAGCCTGAGACCTTTTAGGATTGACATTTAGGCCATATGATTTACTCCAATCATGAATAATCTTTAGATCATTATTCAATGTAGCGATTGCATTCGGCAAATTCTCAAGAGTTGACTGGGTGTAAAGCTGGACATCATCCGCATAGATGTGGTAGAGAGAAGATATTTTATGAGTATTTGAATTAATGAAAATGGAAAAGAGTAAAGGTGACAACACGCCTCTCTGCAGCACGCCTGCAGTAATATCACACCAAGATGAGTGAGTTTCATCGTCACGAATACACTGCTGACGGCCACAGAGATAACTTTGAAATAAGTTAATTACTAATAGATATATGTTAAGGGAACACAACAAACTCAACAGTATATCAAAGTTAACAGAATTGAATGCATAACTGAAATCCAGCAAGGTCATGACTGTGAGCTGTTTATTAACCATACCCCACCGTATGTCATCAGTAACTTTGATTAAGGCAGTAGCCGTACTATGGCCAGGACGGAAACCGGATTATAAAGAATTTAATCAATTGTGCTTATTAAGAAAAAGGGTCAGCAGTTGGCAAATTAATATTTCAAGGACTTAAGAAAGGAAAAGGTAGTTCGAGATGGGACGAAAACTAGAGAGGTTGACGGGATTAGATCTCTTCGGAAGGGGTATAACATGAGCACTCTTCCAGGCTTGAGGGAATTTAGAGGAAGAGACACATGCATTAAGTAAATGAGTGATAATGGGATTGATAACATCAAGAAGAGGAATAATCATATTACCGCTAATGTTGTCGCTACCGACAGCATTTGAGGAGATGGATAATATGATCTTCTGAACGAAGGATAATTAGGAGTCAGAGTTACAGAAAGAGAAAGAAATGTTTGCAGTTTATGTTCACTATCAAAAGAGTTAGAAGGATTGGAAAATGTTGATTTAATAGTTCAACATCTACACTAGGAACAGCATTTAGGAATATTCTACCAACTTCAACTGTTTTAAGAAACTTCCACACCCTAGATGAGTCGCCGTTCTCGACTGACTCGGCGTCGTTGTGCATCTCTACATAATGTGTTGCAGCGATTCCTGATTTTGGCATATTTCCTCAAGTTTTCATCTGTTTTATTCCTCTTAAGCTTTGACATTGCCGCATTCTTCTTCAAAATTAGCCTTTTGCAGATCATCTGAGAGCCATGGAGCAGGTAAGTGTTTGAGTCTCACATAATGCATTGGCGCGTGAACGTCATAAATCTGCGTGAATAGGGAACAGAAAAGTTCCACTTTATCGTCAATGCATGATGCTTTCTCTATCACTGATCAATATAATGAGCATCTTGAAAAATTTGGTCAATATCCATTCCTCCAAAGTTACGTCGCAGAACTAATTTAGGTTTGATTTTAGGAGGGCGTAGTTTATACGAAAGGCAAATTAAATCGTGATAAGAGAATGCATCAACAGGACACTGTCCATGCTTGAAAACTAGATTTGAAGATGACACCATTATTAAGTCAAGAAGGGAACTGTTAGGAAAGTTATGAGTAGCAGAAAAGGGAAGGATTTGCATATTACACGCTTCAATTATAGACTCAAGTTTTATAGCCCTACTGCCGCCTTTGAGCAAACAGGTGTTAAAGTCACCCATCAAAATAGTGTGACTATACGTAGGGACTAGTGATTCTAAGAGAGATTCGAAAGAAGTAAAATAGTTTATAGACAAAGAGGGACTGTAGAAAACTCCAAGTAGGATTTTATTCTGAGATAGGGAGACCTCAACCAGCAAATGCTCACCAGAATCAACAGGAGGTGGTTGACTTGACGAACTAACAATTTTAAATGGAAAGTAGGATCTAAGATAGATCGCCATGCCCCCACCACCCCTATTAGTGCGATCATTTCTAGTTAGATGAAACCCAGGCGAAGAATAAGAAGTGGAAGGTAGACAGGGTTTTAGCCAAGATTCTGAAACTAAAATGGCGTGATTATTTTGGGATTCAAATGACGCAAGCATGTCAGGATAATGAGCCGGAATGCTTTGGGCGTTAATATGAATAGCATTGAAGTTATTCACACAATCTGAGAAACAAGAATTTAAGGTGATGTTGAATGAAGGAGAAGCACTTGTACTGTGATAACTAACATCACTAAGTGTCTCATCATCCGAAGACAACGACAGAAACAAATCACTATCGTTACAAATGTTTGAGGGTGTCATAAATGCTATATACAATAAATTCTTATATACACGAAAAAAATATATAAATATAAATGCAAGACCGAACGGTACCTATACTATTACAACCACCAGCAGCATGAAAGAGAAAGCATATAACAAAACAACAACTTAGAGAAATAAAACAATCAGTTTAATATTAAAATTACCAATATCTTGCAGTCTGATGCCAAAAAATTGTAAGACATTTCGATACTATAGACGTCAGACTAGGCAGTATGTGTTGTAGATTCTAGTAGGTTAAGTCAGAGAAAAATTCTGGCAGCTATTATCTATGGCAATATTTTTAAAATGAAAAAGTAACGGAAAGATGTTTTAAAAAGACGTGAAGAAAATGTTTAACCTTTGAACGCATGATCAAGAATCGTCTTGAATGGTATGTAGAAAGTCATGGATTATTATCAAATACTCAATATGGATTCAGAAAAGGTAAAAGCACATATGTCAGTCTTTCAATCTTCACCACAGATATTAGACTAGCATTTTCGAGAAATGAATCGATCCTTGCTGCTTTTCTTGACATTTCTGCTTACGATAATGTTAGACTTAACATCCTTAGAGAAAAGATGTTCAAGCTTAATATATCCAAAAAAACTTACAAATTTGATTATCAATTTATTTCTAGATCGGTATATACATATTAAATTTGATGATGATTTAAAATATACTCGCAAGGTTTTCAAAGGTCTTCCGCAAGGTTCGGTTTTAAGTCCTTTATTATACAATATTTATACGTCAGATTTAGACCAGTCCATTTCAAAGTGTAGAATTTTGCAATACGCTGATGATATCTTAGTTTATGTAAATGATAAATGTATAGAATCCTGTGCTAATGCGATAGAACAAGATCTCCTCTCTATGGCCACGTGGTTAGATGATCATGGACTGGAACTTTCCCCAAGTAAAAGTAATACAGTAATGTTTTCCCGCAAAAGAGTTTTACCAGAAATACAGTTTCGCCTTTTTAATAATTATCCGCTCGAAAATATTCATCAAGTTAAATTCTTTGGTGTAATTCTTGATAATAAATTATCCGGTATGCCTCATATCATTTATACCCAAAAAATGCGAAAAAAAAAAAACAAACATTCTAAGAGCTTTGTGCGGAGT